AGTTAATATACTTCTCTGCCTGAACCCCCAATATGCTTTGCATCAAAAAATTACTACTGAGTAAACAAACATCTTTCACACACACCCAAGACAGAAGGGGTGTCATCTCAGAAGGTAGCCAAAGTAGGAATAGGAGCAGCAATAATGGTGACAACAAAGTAATAATGTCAAAAAGAACTGAGCATTTACGATTGCTAGGCATGCTCTAAATATTAGACATCCTCTGGCTCCTTTACTCCTCACAAAAATCCTGTGAGGTAGATATTACACTATCCCAATTTCAAAAATGAGGAAACAGGTCAGTGATTAAGCAACTTGCCCAACATCACTGAGCTACTGTCAAAAGCAAGATTTGAACATTTGAGAATTTTACCCTTGGAGATCATATTTTTAACCACTGCATTTTATGTATAATTAAATAATTTGGTGAAGTCTCAAAATAAGGGGGGGCTGACTCAAATTCATTTTTAAAACAACTGTAGTTTGAAGAACCCCCCCTCCCCAATAAAGAATGCCATCTTGACTATTATTTAGGACTATATCCTTCAACCAAGCTAAAACGGAACACGTCTATGGAGAATAAATTTAAAATATATTATGCTTTGCTTTTATCACTTTGAAATCCTTTACTTAATTGAACTCTACAAACAGTGGTAACTGCATGTAACTTCAACAACAGGCAAATAAAACTTTTATTTCTAAAGTCTTCAGGTAACACATACTGCCCATGTTTACCACTAAGTAAACTAGGGTGAAACAACCAAGAATTCCAATACTCCCGAAAAGTTTCAAAACAGCAGCAAGATATGGTGGGAACAAGATATTCCTTTTATGACAAAGAAAAACTGTTCTTCCCACAACACTAACATCTGCTTTAACGACAAACATTAACCTGGAATGGACTGAACTCAAAACATGTGCCTAAACCCAGAAATTCTTTACTGACAATCCATAAAGGCTATCAGTTTATCTCCCAAAAGAGCCATCTGATCCACATACCACATCTAATTTTGGAGAGCTAAGGGTGTGCTCCCTACCATCTCACTGAGTGATTAACAAAAAGCATGCAACCCTCCAACTTCTGGAGCACAAGCCGATTTTTAAAATCATCTATTTGAACCTCAGAACTTGCTTTCCTAGAAAATAAAGGTCTACATGCCAGGTTTCCAAGCCGGTCCACAAAAACTTAAACACCCATAAAGTTACAGAAGTATAATAAATTACCAAATCTGTAGGAAAACCCATTTAGCATTCAACTTAGAATAAAAGCAACTACTCCCGCCCCCCTTAGCCCTGGAAGTAGAATTCTTCCCTCCCCCAACTGGAAGTCCGGGCTCCCCTAGGACCAAAGGTACAGGCTTCCACAATCAAAGTGGAGTACAAGGAAAGGCGTGAAGGAGAGTGGTTGGCAGTGCATTCAGCCTCAGAGTTAGGACAAAAAGGCAGAGCTACGGTTGAGGAGATCCTGGGATGAGGGAGGCAAGACCTACTGGAATAGAAGGATGAAGGGTGGGATGGCAGCTAAAATGAACAAGGAAAAAGTGGGGGGTGAGTCGGGGTGGGCTGCAGAAGAAGACATGTGAACAATGCCTATTCCTGCAGTACATGGGTTTTTGTAAACTTTACTCTTTCAAATACTTAGGAGAGAGGGAAGGAAAAGAGAAACCGTGGCAAGGGTTTTGATACTGCCTCCCTCACTCTGGCTACTCATTCTCCTTTCAAGACAGAATGGAGTGGGTAAAGGGGTCTTTATCCAGGTCCCTCTTAAACTAAGAGCGCAGTGATTCAAAGAAGGTAAGTGGACTTTGAGTTTTGCTGCCCTGCCTGTCAGCATCCACTCTGCCAAAGACTTCTTTGTTCACTGAAGACTGTGGGAAGGCTCCAGGTACCAGAAGGAACAGTGTCAGAGAGGAAGGAAAGGAGAGAAATTTGAAGCAGAAAGGAAGTGGGATGTTTCAGAGTCAAACAAATCAATAGACCTGCCAATGAATTAAACTATAATAAATGTTCATAAGTATTTAGGATTAATTCCCTTTGACAGTTCCAAATATTTATTTCATCAGATCCATTTCACTTTTAAACAAATTGGCCAGAGTAATAAATTGAGGTTTATTATGCAGAAGGTATGGGGATAATAAGCTTCTAAAAACATAGGAGACAATTTCCTGGTGTCTTTTATTTATACAGTGGCAATATAAATCATTTCAGAAAAGCTTTATTTACTTAATGAGTACTCAGTTACATTATCATTTGTCGATTTTTTTTTTTGCTCCAATAGCCCAAATACCATGAGTAATTACCTTCACAAATAAGTATATTTAACTCTTTCTTGGGAGTGTAACTATATTGAAAAACTTGCTAATTCAGGCCAAACATTGCCCATCAGGATTGCAAGGTTTTATCTTCGGCAAAGCTCTAAACTCCACATAACACACAGGTGCAGATGCATCCTGAGGAGCATAGGACTGCTTTTTCCCTTGGCCTCCAATGCCCATGTTTCTGAGAGACATGGCTCCTTCACTGAAGGCCCCAGTTGACTCCCTAAAATATGGAGCAGTAAATCCCTAATTCCATAATGACTTCTCCAGAACTTCCAGCCACAGATAATTAATTTGACAGGTAAGCCTAACCCAAGGACCTGCTGGAGAATGAGTGCCAGGATCTAGCATCCCTCTGATTTTTATTCTTTTAACTTTCAACAGCTACTCTTCCAGTTGAACTCTCTTAAGCAGAGACAATGGCCAGGATGGCAAGCTCAGCAGTAAGCACATCAAAGATACGAGAGCAGAGACCAGTGGAAGACAAAAGTGACCCAACGGCCTGCCCTGTCTAGCCAAGATGTTCTTGCTGTTGCAACTACATCTAAGATACTGCCTGGAAACCTGGACGGTCTTTCACTCCCTAGCTCCACAGAAGATTATGCTGGATCCCAGAATAGCTACTGTGTTTTCTGCAAACCACGAACTAAGTCCAAAACTTCTGTACTAAATTAAAGAGGAGAAAAACAATATCTTATCAAGTACTCCACTTGCTGGAGAAGGTAGGTGGGTGAGGGAGTTAGGTGGGTGGGTATGTATTTATGCATACCTCCAAGCTATGATAAAGCAAATTCAAACCCCTATAAATACTTGGTACTTTATTTTAATAATATAATTTGAAAAACTATTCAGGATCAGAATAAACAAAATATTAAATGTATCCTGGACATGCTAAAACTGGAGGCAAAGTTACTGAAAACATCTGAATTTCAGATAGGACACTATGGGCTAGTGGGAATCCTTACTAACCAGCAAACCTGCGAAAATGTTACCTCTGGCTAGAAAATGAAGACATCTGGGGAAAAAAAGTCTTCAGATTATCTTCAGCCAAGAACACTGAAAGCTTTCAAGATTACCAACAGAATTGAAAGGTCTCTTTGTGACCAAAATTTCCATTTTCATAAAATTTGTATCAGTCAGCACATACACTTATGCAGAGCATAGTAGGAAAAAAACACATTGCAGAATGAGACACGCGAGTTGGAGTTCTAAGCTCTGCAATTTACCAGATATATGACCTCCTCAGGAAAGTTACTGAAGAGTACTGGAGGTTAAGTGTCGTTATCTGTACAACAGGGATAATGCTACCTTTGGCACAGGAATAGCTTTGAGGACTAAGTGCAGAAATACGTTAATTCTCCAAGCCCAGTGCCTGAATATAATCAATGTTAACTCCATCTGCTCCAACACAAACTGTACAGAGTGTGGGATCTATAATTGAGAAGACACTCAAATATGTGGAAGAAAATTTAGAGTGACAGAACACAGATTAATACTATATTTAATATTTATGTTCACTAAAGTCTTTCCCTTGATTAAGCTAGTTGCAGGCAAACGGGTGGGGGGAGACTAAAGTTGAAAAACTTCGCATCATACAGTGATTTAAAATTATGTATGTGTATATGCTTGCATTCTTCCAGTGTTCATAAAAAGACATCGTCACAAAACATACCATGATTAACGATACCCTTTAAAATCTAACACTGTGAAATTTTTAACTCTCATCTCAAAGCCCTTTTTTGATGTAAATGTTTCTTCTTACAAATGTTCTTGTATACTACTGTGAAGCATTTGCAAACGGGGAAAAAAGTAAATTCCCTTATCCTTCCCAAATAAAACTGTGCAAAAGAAGCTTTTCCAATTGTCAAATTGTTGTTTCCTATTCAGTCTTGTTTTTACAAACTAGAGGTAAATACATCACATGCCAAAATTGTCTAATTTGACGAATGTCACAGAAGAATACACGGAATTGACAAGCCCTGTCTGAACCAAGGGTGACAAGTTTTCTTAACCAATTTTTTGAAAGTACTTTTCAGTGAGGACAGAAACGCTTTTCATCAACATTATGAACTTTTGACTTTATATGCAGTTTACTTTATAACCCATCTTGTCCCCCATGCCACCCCCAAATCCTGCTTTTATGAACTTTAATAAGCTGGCACGCAGTACTAAGCTACAGAACTCCAGTGGTAATGACTCTAATCTGTTGGACCTCAGAGGAGGACTGTTCGTGTGATCTTTAAATGAACGTAGACGATGTTTTCTCCGTACTCCACACCTGCCCACAATCATTTGCAAACCTCTTTTAGAACAATTACTACTAGCCTTCCTCACAATTCTCAACAACCCCAACCTTGGTGCATTAGTTCTCATCCCCAGGCTGGGACCTGAAGCCCGTCCACAGTGGTTCACTCTTTTCAAAGTCCAGGGTCCGGCGAGGAAGGACATCTTCCCCTCCGTTCGAGGGGCGAAGGCTAACCCAGGCCCCCGGCCACTCCCTCTCTTCTCGGCCGTCCGGGGCCGCCGCGCCAGGCCCTGCGCAGACCTCCCGCACCCCAGAGCCCCAGGCCAAGCAGCCACGCACACACCCACTCCCACGGGCGCGGGGTCACAGTGTCGACCCCCGGGCCACCCCCGATGCCCCCATCCAGGCAGGTGCCGGGCCTCCTCGCGGACACTCACCCGGCAGCCACTGATCGCTGCTCGCCGCCGCCTCGCAGTCACTCCCGCAGCCTATTCCCGCGGGGGGTCTGTGCCGGCGCGGCTTCCCCGACCGACCCCCCCTTCGGGTGCGCGCCGCGCAAAGCCCGGATACGGTGAGAGCCGCCGCCACCGCCCCCTTTCCTCCCTCCTCCCTCAGTGCGTCCCTCCCACCGGGGCCCGCCTCGTATTTCCTGGATCCGCTCTCAGCTAGAGCTTGGCTAGCGAATCGTCGGCTTCAGGTCTCCCTTCGGGCGCCGTTGCTCGCCAGACACAAAGATGGCGCCGCCGGAGACTGCTGGAGGCACTCTCGCGAGTCTTCCCCGACAGCAACCGGAGGGCGGGGGCCCTCTGGAAAGGTGGTCAATTACAGTAGCCTGAGCTGGCCTCTAAACGAACGTTCCCTCGTTTCGGCTAGAGGCAGTGCTGCTTCTAGGAGGTTATTGCGCTTGCGCACGGGCGGGCAGGCGGCCGGACAGCGCATGCCCAGAAAAAGCCTCTACAGCAGCACCCATTGCTCCAGGTTTTACCTGTTTCCACTGGAGGCGCGGAGTGAAGAAGGGGGCGGAGCAACCAGAATGAAACTCCGGAAAGGGCTGGGCAGGAGCCGGCTGCGAAGTGAGAGGCGTCCCTTAAGGCTGGGTCATCTGGAGAGCCTAAAGGGCCAATACGCTTTGGGGTCCCCGGGCGTTCTCTAGTCTTTTCACTCTCCTTACCCTCCCTGTCACCGAGTATTCTTTGCAGAATATCAGCTGTCCCTTCATCGTATTGTCCATTTGCGTTATTTATTGAGAGCTTATTGTGTGCTCAGCTGGGCTGACAGCTGACAGTCACAGTCCTTCCGTTTCTCACAGCACCATCTAACTTTCTCTTTCATTTTGGCGCTGTGTGAGCCTCCCAAATCTCATACTATTTACCGCTTGTGTTCCTGTCGTGTTTTTCCTCACTCATTCATTTATTCATTCATTTAAACGCGTGTCTTTGAGTTTCCTATGTGCCAGGTCCTGAGGAAACAGATGTGCTCTGACTTCAGGGAGCTTTTGGTCTGAGACGGAGGTGGATGAGGGGAAAAAATTGATGACAGTTCACAGTAAATTCTGTGATAAAAATGAGTACAGATACTGGGGTGGGGTGTCCTGAAATATAGCAGAGAGAAAATTCTTGAGGTGAGTCTTACCCTCAAGGTTAAGTACAGTAAGTGAGAAAATGAGTGAGGAAAGTGAGGAAACAAGCCATTCCGATTATTTTAACAAAGAATTTAGTATAAAGGATTGATAATCAGATACCTGAACAGTCAAGAAGAAAACTCAGTATAAAGCAGAGATAGCACCTGCAGGACGCTGCTACTATGCCTGGAACTTGGGGAACTAAGGAAAGAGGTTGGCATCATTACAATTTAGATATTTAGAGGAGGAGCCTTGTGGAGCTGAAACTGCGATTTTCGAGGAGGGAGCAGTATCTTCTGGTACTGGTGTTTCTGAGCAGGGCTCAAGATGCTGTGTCCACTAGTGTGTGCAAAACTGCAAACTGGTTCCAGGTGTTTCTATGGGTAGGAACCTCTACTGCCCTTCTGAGAGCTTCTAATCTCTCTCCAGCCTGGTGATGAGAATGATACATGTAGAGCAGAGCTGAATTTGACCCATATCCTGAAGCAGAGCAGCTCTGGTGTTAAGAACCACTCATTTTGGAAGCTGAATGTGGTCAGAAAGGGAGCCATTCTCTCCTGTTGCATAGCCCACATAGTAGGGCCCATCATGTTAAAACATTTGGAGAAAACCTCCTTCAAATTCAGGTTTCATATCAAACAGAACTGCCCTGGCCAACTCACAAACCCATGAATGAGAAACAGATGTGCATTGTAATATGGCACTGAGACTTGGACCTATTACATGGCAAAAGTGTACTCATACAGCAGCTCTGTTCCACTAAGCGAGCAGGAGTTAGTCTCCTGTCTTGCTCCACCATCCCTAGGGTGTTGTCCTAATATATTTGGTCCAAAATGGTTCAGTACCATATCACATTCCAGCCATCAAGAAGGAAAAAGCTTACCTATTTCCTTCAAGAGCACAACCCAGAAGTTGTCAACATAACTTGTGTTCACAGCCCATTGGCAAGAACTTAATCACATTAGTGTATTTACCAGCAAGGGAGATGTGGTCCTAATTCTAAGCAGTCTTGTACCTAACTAAAAATCTATGAGTTGAGAGAAAAGGTTGGGGAGACAACCAGCAGCCCCATAAAATGATCACAACTCAGAACCTGATTTAAAATTATACCTTGTTCTGCCCTGGCTGGTGTGGCTCAGTGGATTGAGCACCAGCCTGAGAACCAAAGGGTCGCTGGTTCAGTTCCCAGCCAGAGTGCATGCCTGGGTTGTGGGCCAGGTCCCCAGTAGGGGACTTGCCAGAGGCAACCACACATTGATGTTTCTCTCCCTCTCTTTCTCCCTCCCTTCTCCTCTGTCTAAAAATAAATAAATAAAATCTTTTTAAAAATTATGCCTTGTTCTCTCTCATCAGTGAGGAGTTTAAAGTCAGAGAAGCAGGTATAATCCTTCTTTTTCTGTTCCTTAGGCTTCTACATCTCCTCCCACATTTTGCTAACCACAGTTTCTTCTACTCCAAGGATGAAGAGGGTGGGAATGAAGGTGGGCAAGTTACTGCTTTGCAGGTGCTGTCATAGATGTCTTTGTCTTCTCTGCGCATGGCAGATGCCTAAAATTGCCTCTTTCTCTCTTGGTTTAATTTGGAGGTTCTTAGGCTTCTACTGGGAAGATTTGATAGCATGTTTGAGGACACAAATAAATAATGCTCTTTTCTCTGGCCTCTCTTTCCTCAGCCCCTGGTCTCATGTAGTTTTTGTTGCTGTTCTAAGTCCTCTTTTGGTTGTCAATCCCTTCTGTGTGACTGGCACCCAAATGTTGGCTACCTCATGGGGTGAGTGTGATTCTCCAGCACCACCCTCAAGGTACAGTTCTTTGATAAGGACTCGACCTTTTCTTTTAAAAATATGTTTATTGATTTTAGAGAGAGAGGAAGGGAGAGAGAAAGAGAGAGGGAAACATGGATGTGAGAGAGCAACAACGATAGGTTGCCTCCCATATGCACCCCGATCCGGGATCAAACTCATAACCTAGCTATGTGCCCTGACCAGGAATCAAACCCCCAACCTTTTGCTGTATGGAACAGTGTTCCAAACAACTGAGCCACACTGGCCAGGGTTGGACTCAACCTTTTCTAACTCCTTCTCAGTTCCTGCCTCTTGTGGAATACCCTCAACTTCTTACTCTCAGGACCCCCTCACCCAATGTCATGGCACAAACAAGAGGCTCCAGCTTGCTTGCCTTCTGTGATGTTCATTTGTTAAGAGGTTTTATTTATTTTTTTTTAGAGAAGGAAACAGAGGGAGAACAAGAGGGAGAGAAACATCATTGTGTGGTTGCCTCTCGAGTGTCCCCTACTGGGGACTTGGCCTGCAACCCAGGCATGTGCCCTGACTGGGAATGGAACTGGTGACCCTTTGGTTCACAGGCTGGCACTCAATCCACTGAGCCACACCAGCCAGGGCCTGTGATGTTCATTTGATCCATGGGGAACTCACATGCCTTTGTCATGCTGCACAACAGACATGCCACCCAGTCCTGCTGCTCCAGCAACCTTCTTGTCTTCATAATTCTTTTGGCAGATGACAGGCAGCAGTCGCTCTGCCGATTCTAGCCTCCAAACTCCAAGGATATGTGGTCAGCTCTCCCAAAACGCTCTGCCTGGATTGGACCTCTAGATAGCCCCTGTTCAGTAACCAAGCAACTAGAAGGTGATACATCTTGAAGGTGCCCCTCACTCAGCTCTCGGAGGTGCCCTCGCTTGGCTTTGCCCTCCCTTGTAGGAGAGAAAAATCTACATTTCCTCAAAAGTGGTAAGTAATACAAATCTCCCTTCCGGTCTTTTTTTTTCCCTCCCCCCGCAGAATTGTATGGTTTTATTAACACAAAGGCAGTGTGCACGCAAGCTGTGTATTTATACCCTTTGCTGTGCAGCCTGGCATTGGGATTGGTGACTCTGATGGGCTGGTGGGTTGTTCTCTCCACAAGGGCTTTGTGGTTCTTTCAGGAAATGTGAGCAATCTCAGCACAGTGACATTTGTTGCACATCAGCAGCACTTCAAACTTCTTGGCGTTGTGGACCAGGAACTTCTGAAAGCCACTGGGCAGCATGTGATTTGTTTTCTTGTTGCTCCCATAACCAATGTTGGGCATCAAGACCTGGCCCTGGAATCTTCTGTGCATACTATTGTCAATGCCTCTGGGTTTCCACCAGTTATGTGTAGTTTTGACAGATCGGTCTGATTGATGCTGGATGAACTCCTTGGTCCTCTTTGGGTCTGAGGGCAGCCATGATGCTGAGTAGGAGATGGCTGCCACCTGCGTAGGCAGTGCCAAGGAAGAGCTAGCCTTCTCTTCTTCAGGCTGTGGGAGGTGTTTGGGTGATAGTCACAGAACCGGTTTTGCTGCCTTTTAGTGAACCTTTAGGGAAGGGCCTAGGAGCTCTCTTTAGAATGTGATAGAACTTGGCTTGTACTTTCTTCAGCTGCAGCAGATACATCTTCTGTCCCGTTTCAGTTATTTTGGGCTCACTTGTATCAATAATCTATTGCCACATAACAAACCATTCCAAAACATAATAGCCTAAAATAACAACCATTGTATTTGTTCATTATGCAATATGTTAGTAATTTGGGTTGGGCTCCGCTGGGCAGCTCTTCCTCTGGTCTCACACAGGGTCACTCGGTGACAGGAATAGAGGCTGTGCCCTGGCTGGTGTGGCTCAGTGAATTGAGTACCAGCCTGCAAACTGAAGGGATGCTGGTTCGATTCCCAGTCAGGGCACATGCCTGGGTTGTGGGCCAGGTCCCTGGTTGGGGGCGTGTGGGAGGCAACCAATCGATGTTTCTCACATTGCTGTGTCTCTCCCTTTCTTTCTCCCTCCCTTCCCCTTTCTCTCAAAATTAATAAATAAAATCTTAAAAACCAAAAAAGTATAGAGGCTGTGCATGAGACCAGCAAGGGCTCCTCTTAGCAAGTCAACTCAATTCCACCAGGTATGATCTAAAAGCTAAAAAGTTAGCTGAACCTTTAACGGGCCATTTCATTAGACTGCCTGATCCTGAGTGGTGAGGTTTATGTGATGAGACCAGTGGTTCTCATGGTCATGTGCAACTCCTTTGCTGTAACATGGGTCCATTGGTTTTAAGCAATACTGTACGGTGGTGCCGCTGGGGGAACTGTGGAGAGGAAAAGCAAACTCATAATGAGAGTATGAATCAGTTCTGGAAAGAATGAATCTGCTGCCCCATAGTCACACCCCATGTGGAAAGGATCCAAAGTAATC